ATTGATAAAAAATAATTAGTATCTTTACTTATTTAAGGATTCAATTTTTTTTAGAAAATTATTTTAAAAAATAATATGAGCTTGAAAGTTTGAGCATGTTCAATTGAACCAACCCAAATGAGCCAGTAAGATGACTTTAAGAAGGCGAAGAAGCGAGAGCATGAGAGGGACCAAGTTCGAGTGAGAAAGTGAGAACATGAGAGTTAGGGAGTGAGACCAAGAGGAAGAGAGCAAGTGAGCAGGCAAAGGGGCCAGAACATAAGGCCACAAGCAGGCAAAACCATCGGCAAGCCTCGTGGTCGAGCACATGTGAGGGTTTTTAATAAGCTATGACAAGAAACTTGAGATATTGGGAAGGAATAAATAAAAATTAAAGCTTTTCTTCGTCCTTCTATTAAGCTTGATGTAAGGTATACTTAAGCCTAATATAAGCTTCTTTTTTCCTTTGATTATAAATTATTTTGAGAGAGATTCATGCTAGGTCTGACCACCCATTACCCCTCAATACTCCGAACTCTAAAGCTACATCAAATTAATAATAGTTTTTAATTTAAAATATTTCTCTTTTTAGAAATGATAAAAAATTAGTTTTAGATATGTGAGGATTATTATCCCAATGTTTGGGTCCTAACATTCCTATAAATAGACCTTGTATCTCTTGGTCAATTTAATGAATTAAATAAATGTTTTTTTTTTTTTCAGGTAAAGAATTTTGGACAACACTTCATTAGGTTTCTCAGATTATGTTATACTTCCCCTCTCCTTTCAGAATTCAAAGAACTGTGTGAGACATTCAAATCCTTTGTTCTCAAATAAACTCCTCAGTCCTCACCCTTCATCTCTTCAGCTGTAAGCAATTAAACATCAACCACTTTTCTCTTACCCCTAAAATCCATTGTATAGCATGCCATATGACAATTTTTTTCCTTAATGTGCATCAAATTAGTTCTCTTGTCTTCCAAAAACCAGCTAAAATATCTGAAGAACTTTTTTATGCTTTATACTATTGCATTCCTTGTCTCAGAAGAAAATTCACCTCCATAATGGATTTTTTTTAGAATTCTTAATCAACACTCTAATAATAATAAGATTTTTTAAGTCTATATTTCATTGAATACCCTCTATTATAACTACATTAGATTACTTATAAGTTTTATTCCCTACAACTACCACCATCCCCAGTATCTCCTTGTTTCACTAAAACACAAGTGTTCCACATGGTTTTCCCAAATCATTTGGCTTCTTATTAGTTGCAAGATTCAATTAAAAAAATTTGTTAATCGCGCAATTTTAACATCTTTTATAAATCTTCATATCATAAGAGGTATCTCAATTTGACCTAAAAATTAACCTTTATAATCCCCACCATATAAACTTCACAATGTTTTGCTATTCCATAATATACTACATAATTATGTTCATTACGCTCTTCTAAAAAAACTCCTATAAATAATAATTTCCCAATTAAAAGTATCATCTTTCTTTCATGTTATATTAAGAACTTGTTATCATCACTTTTCAATTTTATTTGGTCTCCAATTTATTTCCTTAGATATTTTATACAAATCATTTTCTTCCTTTAATAATACCTACAGTATTATATAAATACTAAAAAAATTTACGATTTCCTTTGTTTGATACTCTCTTTGCAAAATACTTAATTTCTTTAAAATCATTTTAAAGACTTGGTAGTTCATATATTTTCACACTTTAAATGTACATTTCTTTTCCTTAGCAATCGTTTGTTAGTTCATACATTATAATAAAATTCTCATATAATTTATCCAATCAAATTTCTATCACATATTATATACCCATAAGAATTCTCTAAAAGACCAGTTCTACACGAATCTATGTCCATTTATTCAACACTAACAAAAATCTTCTTTCCCTCCGTTATATATAGTAATACTTATGCCATCTCTTTCTAAATAAGTCTTATGTTCCAAATCAAAATTCAAAGACTGTAAGCACTAAATATATTGAGAAACATCTAAATGTATAATATAGACAAATTTACATAAGATTTACCTAATTAGGATAAGAAAAAAAACTTCAAATTATATTGCAATCAAAAGAAAAAGGTTATGCTTGTAAGGATAGCAGAAACTATAAGAAAAAAATCTAAATAATTTTAAAAAAGCTTAAACAAACATAACATGTACTAAAATTATCCATAGATTTCATGAGAAAAAACAAAAAGAACCATCGTACCTACTTCTTGACAACATTTACTTAAAATACGTCTATTCTATGGGAGGGGGGGGGAATGAACCTTGGAATGTATCTCGGGGGAATATTCACTCAAAAGAACTCTACTCTGGTAACAAGAAAATCAATGGAAAAAAATAATTTTGCAAGCAAAATTCATCAACAATTTCCAATGAGATCCATATGGCTCTAGGCGTTAAAAAAACTGCAATATAACTCATGAGTTTAGAAGAATAACATTTGAGAGGATATATAAGAATAAAAGATGAAAAAAGGTTAACATAATTTTTTGAAAATATAAAGTGAAAAATGTTTATTAGACTCAAACAATCTCAGAAGCTACTTCTAACACTCCTGGGATAAAACTCAATGAACTATCACTAAAAGAGAGGAGCAATGGCTTGGGCAAAACCTGACAAGATACCATAAAGTGAAGCACATGAATTTAATGCAGTGAGTCTGATCATAAATAAGTTTAAGGTCAGCAATACTAACCTACCATGGCATGAAATCATATCTATGGGGACAAGACAATGGACATGGAACTGTGACATATCCAGACAACATGCAGTGTATCTACAAATCTCTATTAGCAAGAATACAACACTACTACGAAATTGAATAGGACACATATATCGTAGACGCAGCAGTTATGCTATCCAAACTCTTTGCAATATAAAATTAGGATGCATTCATAAAGCACAATTCGTTCATTCCTACATGTATGGTGAATTAGGTATATGCTAGGGATAATTTAACTTGCATTCAGATTCAATGCTTTATGACGCATAATGTTGGCCATTAAAAGGGAAGCATAAAATTAAGTTTAAGTGTTGCAGAGATGAGGATGCTCAAGTAGATGAGCGGCTTTACTCTTAGAGACAGAATGTAAAATAAGATTATACGTGAAAAAGTTGGAGTAGCTCAAGTGACAAAAAAGATTAGATAGTGTCCCCTAAGATGGTTTGGTCACATAAAACGTAGGCCATCCGATGGCCTATGTTAAGAAAGGTACAGGTAGAACTAAAAAGAATTAGTTAGAAAGTATTAGAAATGTCATTTTTTATTAGATTTGAATGAAGAATTTAACTCTTAACAGAGCACAATGGATAAAAAAGATTATGTCATCAACCCTATGTAGTGGAATATAGGTTTGATGTTGTTGTCAGATTAAAATGGCAAGACAAAGAAACAAGTTTTCCAACATAAATTACATTAATTTCCTGCACGAACATATCACATCTTCCGAGTGACCAACCAAAATGTTGAACTATAAATAGCCAAACATCATTTTTTCTAAGCTCCAACCCGGGCATTTTTTTCATGAATCCATACAAGCACAAAACTACTCTATGTCCAAACATTAAGATGAAAAAATATATGCATCCTCACTATAAGGCTACTCAAAGAAAACATCAAAACAATGCAACTAATCTGTCCTTCTTATGACCTATATACATTTGGAACTAGGCACCACTTTAATTAATGAATATCAATGATTAAATACATTTCCTTTTTTTTCCTTATTGGACAAAGAAAGAAAAGTTTGAGCATGAGTTTATTAAAGAAGCAACAGCCCACTATTGTGGCTTATTAAATCACAGTTGGATGCTCGTGAATATCATCACAATTTTTACTTGAAAACTGAAAAAGTTATAATGTTTTTGTATGGGATTAGACTGGCAAGTTCACAGGTCAATACTAAAATCCAGGTTTATACACTTTCTATTCTTATAGTAACTTTCAATATGTTAGGATACCCACCCTGCGCTATATCAAATGAACCACACAATTTAAAAAAATAAAAATAAACAATATAGAGATTAGAGATTGAATACCTTATTAGATATACCAAGTAAGTTTTTCAAATTAACAATGCAAAAAAATTATCATGACTATGAAAGACAGCATTTATGATCACCATAACTAGGTCGATCCCAACTACTCAGGAAAAATATGGTTATCTATTGTTTGCAGGATAGAATTGGCACTTATCTATGTTCTAAAACAGTAAAAAAATATCTACGTATAGTATACATATGGAAAAGTCTATGTTCAAATTTGTGACTGCATCTTGCAATAGTATACATGTCTAAATGTAAGTGTATCAACATTTTTACAGTATTATTGCATTTCATCAATGAATTCATTTATATATGTTCATATGCATGCGTGCACACACATAAATATGTGTATGTGCACATGATGGACAAAGCAGAGCACACATGCATCTTTTATATGTGACACCCCATTATATGTTTATTTTTGCATTTTTGCTTTTTCAATACTAGGCGTACCCATATACATCTACGGGGCATCATGTCCCATAGATATATCATCATAATGACTACATGGTTCTTACATTGATAAGCAATTTCGCAGAAAGCATAACACTAACACAGAATTTAGATATTAAATCTTACTCTTGTGGTACTAATTACATGTTAAGGCCATTTACAAAAGCAAAATCAAGTGCAACACAAATAGAAGCCCTGACAAATGAGAAAGCATTTCCGAACAAGATTATTGCGTACAAGGAAAATAAGGCATCTTCAACAAAACATAAGCGGAAAAACAGCTAAGAAAGTTGTAATTCCGAGTCATTGCTCACATTTAGTTAAACAGTTCAAAGTAAGCACCGTGTACCCTTTCTAGTTCATGCACTTCGAAAAAAAAATAGCTAAACGGAAAAAAACAATCACTACTCCCAAGAAAGAATTCTGATTAAGAGATAGATAATTGATCAAGTAGATGGAAACAGAACCTCATTCAAGAACAGTAGAAGTTACCTAAGCAGATATGACCATTGCTATAAATGTGAGGATGCAAAGGCGCAGGAGGAACAAAAATAACCTAATCAGTCCATAATTCAGAAAGAAACCAATTTAGACCAGCAAAAATATGCCAAAAAATCAAAATCCAAAGCCATCAACGTATTACCTGCGGCGCCTCCATTGGGTAATGCTCCGGAAAATCGACCTGAAGCTGATAGGTCTCGTTAGCATACAGTGTGCCGGCCGCACCAATGACATCAATGATCCACCTTCCAAATTCCAACAACCCCACCAAAACTCCAATCAACGAAATTGATCACAAATATGGGGAAGAAAAAGAAACCAATCAAGAAAGTTAGGGCTTTCCCAATCTCTTGCCAAGATGCTCACCTCTGAAGATTATCGGTGACTCTGTGCTTGAAGCCCGCGGGCGGGTTGACCTGCCATTCAACCAGTTCCTTCTGCAGTCGGTTGCATGCGATTTTGCTCAGTGCCTGCGATCATTGAAAACCCCTAAATTTTGTCATAGAAAGATATGGAAACCATAAAAAGAAGAACAAGAATAAGATGAAGATGCTGAGGATTACGAAAAGAGGAGGTGAATGGCGAAGAAGAACGGGGAGTGAGTACCTTGCGAGGGGAAGCCGAGGAGCTGGTCATGCTTCTTGAGAAGGAGCAGGAGGCAGCTTTGTGTTAGGAGACGGGGTTTCTACTATAGGAGAATTGAGAGGACCGTCTTCCTTCTATTAACTACGAGGGTCTACTTGCATCAATCTCGCCTTTATTCCGTTAGATGGATAAATAAATAAATATAATATAATATATATATATATATATATATATATACACATACATTGGTATCCAAGAAAATTATTCAACAATGTGAGCTTGTTAAAATATACCGAGACTTGGACTCTCTTATGCCTTCTCCATTCTGCAAAATTGTTGATATTTGATTGCGGGTGAATAGTGCGATATCAATATTAGTATTGTACTGTTCACCTGCATTATTTTGCTGTCTCTGTCAGATTTGCCGAAGAATTCCGCGAAGGAAAAAGACAGTTATTTGGGCGCAAGATGGAGTTTGATTAGAGATGAATCACGTCATTTTTTTGTTACACTGCATTTTGGAGTGAAAAATGAGATTTTCGGTTGGAGATGCTCTTAGGGAAAAATTATTATGTGCGGATGTCGAATGCCGTCTGGAGACTAACCAGAATGCATCACGTCACCCCTTTGCTTATTATCGCGGTTTGGTACTACTCGGTACATCTAGGTACCATTGATGTGGCGTATTCTAGTTAGTCTCCAGACGGCGTTCTGCATCCAGTCTCCGCACAAAATAATTTCTCCCCTTTAAGACGGCTCTCTTATTGTTGTTTAAAGTGATGTTTTATTAAACAAAATTTTTGTACTAAAAAGCTATTTTAGAAAACAATAAGAAAATTGTCTCAAATGAAGCCTTCCACCTACTAAGAGAATAATTTTCTTACACTTGATTTTATTTATATAATTTATGCTTTGTATAATATCCAAACTTAATATTTATTAAATATGTAAAATATGATAATGGCTTGTTTCAAAATTTCGACTTATTTTATTGATCAACATGTTTCAATACATAAATAAAATATATCAAAAGTCATGTATTTGATTACAAACCTCTTAAAAGTATCTCTCTATGCTTTATGTTAATGCATTCTCCATATTTAAAAAAGGAAAATAATTTTCAACTCTTATGTACTACAAATCAAAACTATTTTAATTGGACTATGCCTTTTCTTTTTAGGATTTTCATGTAAAAAATCATTTGCCTATTGTTCGCATTAATTTACATTTATGTTCATATGTATGTGCAATGCAAATCAAAGCTAATGTATTGACCCAACCCACACTATATGAGGCATTATTCTTTCTAGCCCTATAAATTCCATATTAGATTAAAGCAAATAATTTTATACCTATATAAGCCATTCTTCTTCACCCCCATTCCATTCTTTAGTTATGTGAATTTTGATTTATTATTATCCTCTCCAAATATTTTCTCATCATTGTGCAAACCATCTTAGAAGTATATCAAAGTCGTTCCTTCTTCTGACATTAATCATTATGGTCAGTGTCCACTCTATTCAAATTCAAGATATTACAAACGTTTGGTTCATCCTTGAACCACACATTTTATCATTGGAGGTACAAGTACAACTCTGAAATTAATTTTAATGGATATTAGCTGCATTTGCCAAGTTCATCCCATATCATACTAAATCTTACAATTTTATTATTATTGGTGCACATGTTAGATGATTTTCTATCTCTGGAGTGCTCTATCATATTCATGCTTAGCAAGAGATTTTTCGAAAGAATTTCTAATGCAACACTAAATGACATCTCACATTGTTTTTTGTAGGGGTGTCAATATTTTCGGGTCGTGTTCGGATCCAAAAAATTGATCCGTTTTAAAATACGGGTCAGGTCAAATAGTGCCGGGTCAATTCCGGGTTAATTTGAACCTTACCCGTGACCCAAAACTGATAGCCCTAATTTTTTGATCATTTACTCATAATCCAATAATATATTTTTACTTTTTTATGTGAAATTTAAGTCAATATTGCTCCCAATTTCTTCTACATGTTAACTAGGAAAAATTCCTTATTAAGGCCTCAAGCCCCACTATCACTCTCTATCCTCTTTAGACAACTCTATTTGAATTTATAATATCACAACTATGATGATTAAAATTCCTCACTTTATCTCTACAATTATGCATATAATTTAAAATATTTTAAAATTTCATGTATTTTTTTTTCTTTTTATCATCAATATATAATAAACTTTATCCCATTTGTATAGGATTATAATTAATTGTTTAAAAAATGTATATTAAATGCATTATTATTGTTGCGACCAGGAGTATTCGCGGCGGTAGAGAAATATAAGATCTAACGTTTTAGCGTTGCACGAAAATCCGGCATGCAATCAGATAAAGAGAGAGGGTCTAACATTTATGAGACACCAAGATTTTTACGTGGAAAACCCCTGAAAGGAGGAAAAACCCACGGGAGGCGCCACAGGTAATACGGTTTGAATGAATCCACTAGTATTGTAGTTGATTACAAATGAGGTCCTTCCTTGGTGGAAGGTCTTAGCTTGATGTACATCTTATGGAGTAAATTACATGATGTTAATACAAAGAGTCATTGTTGACATGTTCGTTTGGTCGGAAGGACCATTGTCGGAGGGCAACGGAGGTCGGAAGACTTGTAGTCGGTGGGCGACATATGTCAGGAGGACCGTAGTCGGTTGGCGACGGAGGTCGGAAGGATTATAGTCAGCGGTCGACGTAAGTCAGGAGGACCGTAGTCGACGGACGACAGAGGTCAGAAAGACTGTAGTTGACGGGCGACAGAGGTCGGAAAGATTGTAATCGGCGGGCGACATTAATCAGGAGGACTGTAGTCAGCGGGCGACGTAGGTCGGAAGGACAGTTGCCTTGCGAGGGAGGTTGGAAGGACTTTGTCTGACGATGAAGGTCAGAAGGACGGCGTCAGGTAGAAGTCCAACAATGGAAAGAAATCCATGTTCGAATATACGTCCAGCGAAAGTCCATTAACCGGTAGAAGTCCGGGATCGGGTAGAAACTTGGCGAAGAGTGAAGGTTAGGTGTCGGGTAGAAGTCCGACATCTGTTGGTGGACGAGGAGAACTCCGACATCACTTGGGCGGAGTTTCGGCGTCAGGAGGGAACTCTATCATTAATTGACAAGAATTTCCGCATCCCATGGAAGTTGAGCAGAATTCTGGCGTTCTCCCGAATATCCGGCAGAGTTCCGACGTATTCAGGTGGCGGGAAGCGCTCCGGCGGTGGTCGAGGAGGAGAGGATTCTCCTTTTCCCCTTTCTCCTCTTCTTCTCTTCTTCTTCACTCTCTTCCCTTCAGTTCCTCTTGTGAAGAATGAGGGCTCTATTTATAGTTTTTCTGGAGTGGCATGGCTTGTAAATAGGTGTGAGATCAAGGGCGAATAGGGAGTGGTTTGAATGGACGACCAATATTGAACCCTTCGATCATGCACCATTCGTTGGACATTTGGAGGCCTTAATGATGTCTGAATTCAACGATCTTGGGCTCGTTGGATTTGTCTCGTCGAGCCGCTCGATTCGAGTATAATCTCGTTAAAACCGGAGATTGTTTGGTAACTCAAATTGCGGTTTGAACCTTCCAATAGCGCTTCGGGTCCTTGATTCGGACTCATTTGGGCTTGGATTGGGTTGAACTTGGTGTCGTTGGGTTCGTATTTCCGAGACGCTCCGTTTGACTGTAGGCTCGCTGAAATCGGAGTTCGGGTGCTCCCAAAATTAATTTTTGAAGTTTCCAACTAGCTTTTGCCTCGAGATTCGTGCCCGATCAAGCTAATTTTGTGATGTCGTATCAATTATTATTATATATTTTTATAAAACATATTTTAAAATATATTAATTTTAAATTAATTTTTCTATCCTCACTAAATAATTTAAAAAATCTCAAAATATTGAAAGAAGCTCCATTTTATCAAAATATTGAGGAGTTAGATTTGTTTAAAATCACATATATATATATATCTCTCTCTCTCGTTTCTTTAACTTTCTCTAATTTTTATTTATTTTTTTCTATAATTTAGACTTATTTCTACTTAAATTTTATTTATCTAATTTTTTATCCAATAACGTCTTCAAGAATATGCCTAACTTCAATAATATAAATACAATTTAAAAAAATGACATTTACCTTTCATCATTTAGTAATTTGAACATCTCTTTAAATATAAATTTACAAATATATTATTAGCATATATATTAGGCCAGCCCAATCTTTATCTTCCCCACTATCAGTTGAACAGTTTTTCAGCTGTAGCAAACCGATGAAAGCACAATTAATATATGTACAAAAACGTGGCTCATTTTGATATGTTAGAATAATTAATATATTTTAATTAATTTTTTATTTAATAACTTAATATAATTAATTGTTAATTTAATAACTTATTTAATTAATTATTAACTTTACTATTTTATTTTAATTAAATTTTAATTATAATTTTTGTATAATTAAATTTTAAATAATTAATAAAAAGTCTTTTAATGCATTTTCTCTTCCAGCAAAATGGTTGGGACTTCAGAACAAATTTTACCGGAAAATACAGTCGGTAATATTTTTCACAAGTGGGTTTTACCGCCGAAAAATTTGCCGCCGGTCAATTTCAAATCCGTCGGTAAGTAATCAATTTCCTCCGGAAAATGTTGCCCGTAATAGATGATTTTCTTGTAGTGATAATGAACATTTTCGACTAGTGATGGAATTATATTCTTACAACAGCATGATTTCATGCCCCATTAGAAAAAAATAAAATCTAGTGGTGTTTATAATGCTCATTCCTATTTATAGAACATTCAGTTTCTAAATTTGCTCTTTGTCTTTGGATCTCCTCACCTTCAAGAACTTCGTTTTACTCTTTAATTTCTTGCTCATCCTGCTCTAAAAAATAGAGTCTACAAAGTTTAACTTAAAAACAAAATTTATATTCATAAAGTTTTAGAAAACAAAAGAAAATGACAAAATGTCCATCCCTATCTAATTTAGGTTTTGTTTGGAACAGATTTCTTTCTGCTTCTTAAATCAGCTTTTTCGTACCAAAATTTTAATTTTTATGCGAGAAAGCTATTATAAGAAGCAGTAAAAAAACTATCCCAAATAAAGCCTTAATTTCTTCAACATTGGCTCTCTCTTGTGGAATATTAAGTATGAATAGTTTT